AAGCGGTTTTCTTTTGCAAAAAGGAAAATTCAGCTTCATCGGAGCACACATGCCTGACCAACCATACAATTGGGTGGGATAATTCTAAAATTATCACTACTAATCGACGTTACCACCAGCGCCTTTGTTTGGAGGCTTGGCATATTAACTCCGCAAACGCTCCTTTAAATCGTAACGATGGCGGCTTGCTTCCTGACGCCTATTTACACCTCGTCAGAAAAAAGGCAGCTAATTAGTGATCATATAAAAGGACCTCTTGTAGATCACCCCTGATGAAGGCACTAGACAGGAGTGTCGAAATGTTGGTTCTATGAATTGTAACTTCTTCGGTTACATTCATTAAATCAGTAAACCAGAGCAGCATCAAACCATGTCTAATTATCCACCTGGTTGCCGTGTGAACTTTAATATATGTTATGTTCAATTTGAATTATTTGTTTCAGTTGTTTCCTCGGTCCCCACTAGCCTTTGTGCAATAAACACTACCGAAGGTGAAAAAGATATTATTTTGTATTATCATAATATTTATTAAACAGGATGCTCTCGCAGTTCTTCCGATCATTTTAACTGTTTTTAAAGCTAATGAAAAGCAAGGCTCTAAAAGAACTAGATATTCTTCGCTGTGGATACTCTAGACGACGTGTCCATTCTATATTCTTCATCATCGGCAAACCTACGTTGGTTACACGAGCTGGAAGTCTGTTCTGCTCTTTTTGCTTAATTTTTCCTAATTTCTCTCGACTAAGGAAAATAACCCTCGTTTCCCCATCGCCTTGTTGCAACTTGAATAGAATATCGCCTAGACTTTGCATTTCACGTAATCTTTACATCAAACTTCCATCGAAAACATCGTGAACGTGCCCTTGTACGTCCTTATAAACAGAACCTTTTTTTTTTTTAATTACAAACACAATACTTACAATACAACATGAAACACCACTTACACTAATTACAATGCTTATTTACATTACTCTACTTACAGTCACTAATAATATCCAGCTCTATTAACAACACAATCGACTAATTATACTATTACATACAAAAAGTACTATTTTCTTTTAACATTGCGCAGTGACACATACCGGCGATGGCGACGCCCCGTTAATTCTCTAGCAAAAATAAACTACAATAAACTAATAAACAAGGAAGAATATGAGATCTAAGTTTATGCATTGGTCTTCCATTCTTTTCCTTAAAAAAAGGGGCAAACACAAAATTATATGAGAAACTCCCATCTAATTTGAAAATCGCGAAGCTTCGCTTATAAACAGAACCTGAAAACGCTATTCTGCAGCAAAAGTAAAAACTCGAATTAAGCCGAGTGAGAATTTTACAATGGCTTGCCTGACATGAATGTTTCGTCCCTGCCAAGGGACTCACCAGACACCTTTCAGCTAAGCCTAGCTAACTCGACAAACATCGCGTTTGAAGTCCCGCTAGCATCAAAATGACGGTGGCAGTCTGGGCTTAAATATATCACTCAAAACCCGTTTCCGCTTGTCTCATCTGATAAAGAGAGAATCATAAATGTTTTCATTAACACAGTATTGCTTTGATTTTCCAATATTGACAATGATACACAGTAAATTTCACTTTTCACCCATATTTACTACCAACGTTTTCTTTTGAACCAGAAACAAAAACGATATGTTTGAAACACGACATCATTTACGTGGGGAAGAGATACTCCATCAAGAAACAAGCCGTGCAGACTTTGATGAAGGACGTTAAAATAAAGCCTGTAAAGTAATCTGAAAACGATATCTGAATTAAATACGACTACCATTCAGTGACATACAGGCAGTTTGCTGACAGAATGTTTAAAATGTTCTTTCCGGAAACAGAACTTAGCATAAAATATCAGTTTATTTCCACAATTGGCTACATGCCCACTTTGATAGACAAATAATTTACATGTTATACACCCGTATTTTCTCTCATGAACTAAACAATCCTCTTTGACGAACACATAGTCGTTATTTTATTGTAGGAATGAAACCAATCCTCAAAGGAGATATCTTCAGCGCACATGTAAAGCCACAGAATTTTACGAAGCAAAAATGTGCAACGGAAAACCTAACAAAAACAATTTTTAACCAGGGGAGAAGCAGAAAGTTACCACCGTTAACAAGAAACTACGCCCCTGTAATTTCCACTGGAGCACGAATCTTATTTAGAAAACAGCGCAAGTAGATAGCCTTATGCCCTTAGGTTTGCATTCAAAAAGGGTTTTTCCTCTTTCCTCCCGGCTTGCCAGACAGCCACCCTGGAAGTTTTCTCGTTGTTTCCTGAGAAGGCGTAGTTGGCTCACTTGGGGTATTTCTCAGTTGGGTGCCCGATGCCAAGGACCTCTGGCACATCGTTAACGCTGAGGTGCCTTGAGAGACCGCGCCACATGACAGCTCCAAAATGGCGATGACCAGTTTAATATGGCCATAGGACACATGAGGAGGTAAGTGATCTTTTATGGCTGATAATTTGCTTATGTCTGCAAAAAGGGAAATGTACATGTCTTTATCAGAAGCCTAAAACTATCAGTCGTGCGAACCTTCTAAAAATTAGATCCATATCTGAAAATTTACTAAATGGAAGAAGGCACGGTGACAATAACATGGTAATGTATGTAAAGAACACAACAATGACCCCAGGCCAGGACTCTGAGCAAACGCGTTCAAATCGGGGTTCACCTCTGTGGTCACCTCAGTGGTGACCAAATGGCTATGAGGTGACAGGAGATAGGGTCCAAGGGTGCAGGCGACTTCCTTCCTTTGTCTTTGAAAAAGAGGCAATCTAAAGTTGTAATTAAACCTCTATACTCCTAACTACCAGAAAACGTCAGTAAAGGACACTAACCCCATTCCAGCCTGCACCCCCCATTATGCCACATAATGACGCCTATAAACAACGGTTGAACGATGATTTTACCTGAGTTAATTGGGGGCGATCTGATCGTTTTTGTTACCAGTTCTTGGATTTCTTCAGTGATTCCCGCTGCACAAAATGAAATGCAAAGCACCCCAGTTAGACATTTTCGTGATGAATGCAACGACAGAGATTGAAAGAGGATGTCCACATTTCATACCAGCATATAACAGAGGGAGAGAAAAACGAAAAGTGCGAGCCGGGCCATTTTTCTATTTTGACAGCCCATTTGTCCTCGTCTTTACCAATACACAAAATATCCGCACCTCTCTTATAGTCCACGGGGTAATTTGCCTTCAAAGCTTCCGCAAGGTGGCCAAAAATTGTTCCCTCCACCAAGTTCCGTGCTTTGGCCACTTCTTTCTGTAAGAAATGTTGTACATTGAAGAGGCTTTGTCATATTGGTCATATTGTAACGCTGTCAATTGTATTTCTATGTCGCAAAAACAAACCCAATGAATTCGTAACGTAGAGGATAATGAAAATTGGGAAACGAAGTACAAAACTCCGACCGGGCTCAAAAAAGTGGGGCAGTCTTCGCCTTCATCAAGTAAAGAATGATAGAAGTCTTGAGCTCATAATTGTACTTTCTTTCGGTTTACAAGCGTGAAGACTTAGTAAATCACGAGCCGTAGTGAATGATTTTCATACTTTCCGCGTTTCTCCTAACATCAACCGAGGGTTATTACGTCGGTAAAACGATAGAGAGAGAGAGGTCTGTTGCTTTTATAAAATAACTATGGCTTTACCGGTGTAATAAACGAAAGGTTCTTGATTATATATCAACCAATCAAACGCACAGTTGTAAACCTTTATGATAATTAACAAAGTCACAATCAGGAAGTGAGACATTGGGCGTATCGTCATGGGTGGAGCCTTCCAACAATTTCATTTTGAGAGGAAGGATGTCGTCTGAAGACATGTGCTCATACTCTCACAGACTGGACGACAGGCTGCGAGTGGGAAATAAGCAGGAACGAAGGCCAGACTCAAGAGAAAGTCGGAAATCGAACCCACTACTCACGTCGACTATTGAATTCAATACTTACGATGGTCATCTGTTTTTCGTGAAACATGTTGAAGGTGGAAAGCACTGTTTGGCTCAGTTCACGACGACGTATTCCCACAGGTTCTACCACATAGGTCTGCGACTGAGTGGTAAAAAGTGAAAGGCGATCGCCATTTAAACCTCAGCAATATCATATAAACTACACACAAACACATCCCTGAATGCACATGCCTGAAAGGGATTTGTTGATTGGCTGAAAACCATTACTTATCATTGCTATCATCGTATTTTACATTAGGTTCTCTTCATTTCGCATCCACGATTGTATTTCAAGCGTTGGAAATAATTCTGAGAGGCAAATCAGCCAGGTAGAGAAGAGCTAGAACGCTTGACCTCATAGACGGTAGGGCGGGGAGGTGGGCTTGTTTCGAAGACTAAATTAAACTTGTAGCCCTGGCATGTCAACGAATAGATATTGTTCAGTAAGCTACTCGATTTAGAGAAAGATGGTTATTCGTCTTGTCAAGAGCACAAGACAAAGCTAACATTCTGGGTCCTCACAAGGACTTTACCAAGCTCAAAATATACCATCTCTCTAATTTTTACACACACAACACTTTCGACATTGATGTTCCTAGCTGCATGAAGGACGCATGTTCACCGTGGAGTCTCTGTGGTTCAGTACTGGGGTTCGCTTCCTCATAGGGACTCACAATGTTATCTTTGTCCCAAATTCATTACAAGAAGTATATAACATCTATCTAAATTTCTTCACCGAGCTTAAAATCTACCATGCTTTTAATTTATTTATTTGATTTACTTCATAAAAATGTATCATTAATCAAATATGTACTCCTTATATCTTCATAGCACAAGACAACACCACAGCAAATGAAACGAAATTAGAATACTTCCACGATCAGTGAAGGCCCAAAGCAGAAAACTTACGTTAATTTTAGTTGTTGAATGCACAGAATTAGTTTTGTCGTTAAACTTGTCTGCAGTAAGCTCATTCTCCTCACAGAAGTTTGCCACACAGTTGGCCAGTTGTTCTCCAAATCGTTCACATTGTCTCTCGGACACGCCATCCACTCTGAGCAGGCTATCAGTGGTGGATGGCCTGAGGAGTAAAAATTACAGCTTTTCAGATGAAGAAATGAGTAGTTTATTCATTAACTTGACCGTTGATTGCCAGTGTGAGTGGTGTGTTAAACTTCCTTTTACGGTTTCATAATCTCTTGGTGTCGTTACATTTAAGGACAGCCTCGTTAAGAGGAATATCGGATACAGTAAACAACAAATTCTCCAAACAAAGGTCAAAGGCAAAGATTCATGGTCTAAACTTGGGATAAGGACCTGGAAACTATGAAAAATGCATGAACAAGTAGATCAGAGTTTTCAAACACAAGAACAGTCGCAACAACAAAAAATATAAGATTAAAGAACACCACGTCTTAAAAAAGGAAAACGGAAAACCGTGTGTACGAGAATGGCAACCTAGTGTAATGGTTCCAAACATTTATCTCAGTTTTTCCGTCACGACTTGAAGGGGGGGGGGGGGGGGTGTTTTTCTGTTGATTCATATATTGAATGTGACTTTATGAAAATCATATATGTGAACTGCGGATAAAGAAAATAGGCCAGAAACAAAAAAGAAAAAAAAAAACATTCAGGTCTACACGTGACTTAAATCCATGACCTCTACCAACTGAGCTAACAAGCTAACTAGGAGCTGGTCATTATGCTGGTTCAAAATAAACCTGTGAAGTAATGAAAAACTGACTGTGATTACATGAAAATCATATGTGAACTGCGGATAAATAAATTAATATGGAAGCGATCTTCGCAGTTATGAACACTACCAGTTGGTTTGTCAGCTAAGTTGGTAGAACACTGTACCGGTATCGCAGAGGTCACGGGTTCAAATCCTGTACAGACCTAAATTTTTCCAGGCCTTATTTTCATTACTGCTTAAGAAGTGTTCTTAACTGCGAACATGGCTTCCATATTCGATTCATATGTTGTGATAAATGTAGATGACTTTAGGGAGGGAGTTATATAAGCAGTACAGACAATTCACCTGTATTTGGCAATGTCCAGAAGAATCTTATTCGTGGCGATCATGTAGGGCGGACAGTCCAGCGAGTGAGAGAGCTCTGCCCTGAGCTTTATAAGTGTTGTGTACAAAGAACCCTGGAAGAACAAATAAGGTCTACTTGGGTAATCAACGAAATGAGAGAGGTATCTGATATTTTTGGAATTATTTAGTAAAAAGACGTCATCGCCAATGCGTTGTTTTGAAACAGTTCACAAACAGTTTGGGTCTTTCGAAGGGACACATTTCTAGTTTTTTTTTTAATGAAATGATGAGCTCTTTCTGAGTACAAGCTTGGATCGAAGAAAACAATAGAAGAAAAAAAAAAAACCAGACAGTATAAAGGTCTCTCGCTTAGATCTTCAGTAAAATAGTATTCTTACTTGAAGTTCTAATTCTTTTTCGTCCACTAAGAGCTCTTGTTGTGTTACTTGAGGCAACATAGCCAGAGGTACACGCTTCTCATTCCAAGTAGGTGAAGACGGAACAGTAGGAGAGGATGAGGGGTATCTGAAAAAAATGGTTAATAAGTTTTTTTAAAAGAAAAGAACAAAATATTTTTAAATTTGTAAGAGATGCTCCGATGAGCTGACATGTACATTTCGATATGACATGCTTCGATGAGCTAAGACATTGGAAGTTAGAAAGAGGGTTCGAAAAACGGCTTGAGCTGATACCTGGTTGTTGGTTGAGGTTGTTTTTCTGTTGCCAACAGATCCTGCAGATAGAAAAGGAGTTCATCAAAATACAAAGCCTTGAAATAGTCGTAAGTAATGTATGGACTCAAATGGTATGGATAAAAATGGACCAAACAAACCTGGTTGGGAATTAGCTCCATTTTGACAGAATCATTCCACATGGCTTCTCTCAGCCAGTTCTCTCCCTTTGCTTACAATTCGTACACACAGACAATGAGACAGACAGGTAGGAGGGCAATCAGGTGAGTGGAGAAAGAAAAACAGAAAGAGGAATTTGTAAGTATGGTTCAGATTACCAGTTTGTTGGATGTTTTCCTTGTTCTCATCATGATCGATAAATAGATCAAGTTTTTTTTTTTTAATATTTGCACTTATTGATTTCCTTTAGCAAGGTTTTTTACCAAATCTTAATGTTGGTTGAGTGACCATTTTCGTTTCTCTCATTTCATTAACATGTGATTAGGAAAAAGTAATCAAAATCCTGGAGGAGATATGAAAAAATTCGTTTACTTACCAGAGAGGGCTGTGAGAGAACCATATCCACCAGGATTTGTCTTTTCTTCAAGAAAGTCCAAGCTCATGAGCTGACGGCCTGAAAAGTTGGAACAATTAAAGAGGAATTCAGTGTTTGGGGGCATGATAAATAAACAAGAACGTAAAAATATGCTCACCAAAGCTCTTCCACCACTTCTCTGGATGAATTCTAAAAGAAGCAGACAGGAGAAGCAGTTGAGGTTGTTTTCAATGTGTGACAAAACTAGACATATTTTTTTTAACGAACAAGAATTCTGTAATAGTCACAAGTTGCCTTTCAAAATATGAGGTCACTATCTTGGATTTTTATAGCCAGCTGGAAGGATACAAGAAAGGTTGTAAATGATCATGGTTATTATTAGCTCAAGCTTTATCTTACTTGCCAGTCCCAAACTCTTTTTTCTGGGTGAGCCATTGTGGAACTCTTTGGTTATTCTGAAATAAAAATTTAACAAGAATGCTCTTTCTACAAGGTTGGTACATTTGTAGAAAAAAATTTTATAAATGGACAAATATGCCACTTAACAGTAGAAAAATAATAAAAAAAAGGGAATTAAAATAATCACTAGATTAGCAATTCTTTGTTATTACGTTACATTGCAATTTTCAGTTCCCTAACAGAAAATCAGATTGTTTTTCCACCATAAAACATTGACAATATAGAGTTCATATTAAAGCCTTCATGTGCATAAGCTCATCATCAGCAGACCTTTTTAGCATGTTTAAGAGGCATATAACACCCCAGTCTAGAGCATTATCCCAGCTAGGGAAGTTGTGTGCCTGGACCCAACTCTAGATTAATTAATGGCTATAAGCCTGTGCCATGTTTGGCCTTAAACCAATACAATATGATGCTCCAAAACAGTAGTGTGACTGAATTTTGAAGAAGGCAGATTATAGTCATATTGTGCCCATGAGGTAAATGTACTGCATTGTGCTTATACTTACTGATCCCCGTAGCATTAAAATAGGGATTGATATACCATAGGAACCATTCCCTGCAACCTGATAAGGAAAAAAGCAACAGAGAATTAACGTTGAGGGTTTACCAGCCCATGCAGCAGAAGACTCTATTCCATTTTACTGTATTTGACTGTCAAAACAACAACAGCCCCAACATACAAATCAAGAAACTCTAGCATAAGAGTCTTAACATCCAAAAGAACAGTGATTAAATGACATGCTGATATGAAAATCAAAATGCATGTGGATACTGGAGAGAGTCATTAATTGCAATAAATTTACGTAACATACCATCACAGCATTGAGCAACAGTTTAGCTTCTTTTGTAAAGTCTCTCTTGTCATCTTTCACATGCGGGTTAAGAGCCCTAAACAAACACACTCTCTTCACTAATCATTTTTCAATTAGTATTGTGAAGATGTTGCTACAATATAGAGCTTCACCTTGATTAACTGGTTTAAACAATTATTTTTCTTAGGAGCATGGCATGCTCTCACAGGTGCAAAGGCCCACCTAATGTGAAAACAACTATAACAGTCTTCTTGCAGGCTATTAAGGACATAACGTGGGTGATCATGGCAAAATAGCAGATCAACCTGACAAGAAAAAGACCTGTTGGGAGAGAGGTTTCCTATTATAATCCATTTCATTCCAATGTTTGCTCGGGTTTTCTGGAAATCTAATTTTTCCCAGATAACTTTCTATTCCAAACCTCCATAAACCTGAAGAGGTATCAGTGTTAAATATAATATGACCTTTACTTAGTATGTGAATCATAATATGTCACACACATCTGTACCTTGATGTGAACAACCCTTATATTTTACAATGAAAGAACACTAACCTGATTCGGCAGTTATCACAGCAGTCATCTCTTCCACCAATGCTCTTGTCAACTGAATTCTCAAAGTAAGCTAAAATTGTTCTACAGACACAAAACAAATTTTAATGACATCTGTTTTGAGCCTCAGGATGTCTTTTCCAATGCTAAACAACTACTGCACTGATAATCCTGGAAGTGAAAGGGTCTATATGATAAACAAAATTATGTTACCCACCTTCTCCTACATTCTGTTGTAGATAAGTACTGTTCAAGCTTGTTTAGCATTTTCAGTTTATGTTCTTTGAATGACTGTGCTTTGACATCATTCAGCAAGTGACTTTGGAAAAAAAAGATAAAATTCTTTCATTTGTTTTAAGTTTAGGATTTTTTTGTCTGTTTGGAAAAGCAAAATGTTTGTCACTGAAATTCACTGAATGCCAAGCTACATATGCACCCACTGATAAACCAGCTCACCATGGAGAGTCTCTGTGGCTCAGTGATGGAGCATCAGAGCAAATTCCAAAAGTATGAGGTTCAATTCCTGGTGGGGACTCAGAGTTTATCCTTTGTTACCCCCTTGTGACAAAAAACATCTTTCTCCAAATCCTAATGGTCAGTCATATCACCATTTGATTTGGGTTCTTTCTTGGATTTATAATGACTTCTATGGAAATAGGTAGCCAAGGGTAGTTGCAAGTGAGTAAATTTTGTAACAAGTGCTTATTCTTCAGATAGCAATCTTTATTCCTTTTTAGTGAGGTATGATCTATTTTTCTCAATTAATGAGAGTTTGTGATTCACAATGAGAATGTCTGTTTTATATTTTACTTACATCAATACCAACACCTTTTTAGGACAAAACATGTATCAACCCTACTTGAAATGCAAACACTCACCGGTTAAGGGAAAAGTCAGCTGTGCTATAAAACACATGGCATGTACTGGGAAGGCTAAAAGAAGACATAAATCAATAGGTCATGATATCTTAAACACAGAAAGTTCACAGGGTACAATAATAGTACTTACCCATCCCGACCAGCTCGACCCATTTCTTGGTAATAAGATTCGATATCCTTTGGTGCTAAGGACAAACCAAGCAAGAAATTCAGTACACCAAAGTAAGCATAGTATCCTTTCAGAATCGTTATCCAAAATAGAAAATAATTTCCATATTTTTGTTACACTGAATGAAGCATATTTTTTTTGCTACTTAATTCTGCATTTAAGTTTTTTTAAGTGTAAATCATACAATGGTAGAACAATGGTAGAACAATGGTAGAACAATGAAAAACTTTTAAGTGGAAAAAAATATTGCACAGCTAATGTAGAAAAATTTGAATTTCTTACTTAAAAATGACATCACTTATTTCTGTCTACATCCACCTCACTAAAATCTAATAGACTCATCTGTTCCATAACTATTGGATTCCTGGCAGACAATTCAGGTAAAAAACCCACAAGGGTTTCAATAAGTATTGAAGTAGACAGTAAACACTGTAAAGTAGGTGGGTTATGGAAGATTTCTCTTTACTCTAAAGTTGTTAATTTCAGAGAAAATAAGCAGCAATCTTGCTTCACATGTGAATTTTAGTGACAGTGAATTTCATCAGTTACCAGTTCTCATTGAAAACTGACCCATATTTCAAGATTACCTTTTAAATTGAGGTGCAAAAATTTTTATGGGGTATTCTTGCCACAATAAAAACGCAACCAGGTGAGAAAAATAACAACATTAGCTCATTCCAAGGGCACTCGCAAAAAATAATCCTGGTGAAAGGACTTTTCATGAACAAGAGAGAAATGTAGAGAGATAATTGTAAAATGTATGTAATAATGTAGTTACCATTTAGTAAAAGGCATTGCAAAAGGGATGTAAATGGCCACAATTTACTTTGGCCTAATCATACAAATGCATACCTCCATAATGGATTATTTTTCTCACGTCTGGCTTATCAATTCCCATTCCAAAGGCCACTGTTGCAACAATGCACTGAGTCAAAAATAGTGACAAAAAGTGAAAATGTGCACATAAACTAAACAGTTTAAATTTGAAAGCCAATCTAGGGTTTATGTTCAAGATATATATCTCCAAGACACATATCTGAGACACTGATTGATTGAGAAATATTATGCAGAAAGATGCACACCTGAATGTTGTCTCTTATAAAGAGGTGATGAACTCTTTTTCTTTCCCCAGGGCTTAGGCCAGCATGATAAAATTCACATCTCACCCCAAGACCTGCAAGTTCACACAGATTTAAAAATCATGCAGTGTAAACAAGGAAGCTAGTGAACCCCTTTTTGCACATGGACAAAATGATAGAGACAGTGTCAGTGAAATATGTTAGATACAGAAGCCACAGCAACTATAAAGTCAAGTACAGTCACAGGCCAAGCAGCTCCTCCTGCCACAGATTATCTCAGTTTCTGTAGCAATTTAAAGTGCACAGAAGGTGGAGAGAGGTACTGCCGCATGTGAGGGACAAGTAGTACCCAAAAACATAATCTGTGACCTGCCCAGGGCTTGAAACAGGGACTCTCAAACCAGAGTTCAGAAAGCTAGCCATTAGGCTACTGTACCACCCATACATATAGGTGTATACTTCATTATTATTGCAAAATGCTATCCTTAATCCTATTTTTAAGAGCAATCTGTGTAAACTATTTTGTAAAAACCTACAAAAAGCTTTTCCTTAATGGTATAAAGGGATTTTTGATTACATAATGAAAACCTATATCTTATCTTAGTACCCACAGCTTCATACATTTATCATACAGAAATCCTTATAGCCGATCATTTTCTTGGTAAGTACAAAATAAATTACCACGGAGTTCACTGACAACTGTTTCTGTTGCCTTCTTTGTTGGACAGTAAACGATTGTTGGACCATCAAAAGAGTACTCAATCTTACTTCTGTAAACAAACAAAGAAAATTCTTGGACAAACTTATAACAAGCTTCAACATTTTCATAAATACAAGTCGGGAGGGAGGGAGGGCAGCTACTGACAGTGATACAGTTCCCATCCAAATCACATGACTGAGGTCAGTTAAAGGCAGGATTTAGTCCTATCTGTTGGAATAATTATAAAATCACTATCAGGAAGATGAGAGTTGATGAAAAAGCATACTGCACCATCCATTTGGTAGATATACGTTTTTGAATAGCATTATCTAACTTTCAAACCACTCAGGAAGCTGCCCTTGTACAGTGCCACATCCTTGAAACAAATTTATCTCAACAGTGCTTACACCCAAAATAGTTATACTTGTAATTATTAGTGAAAAGAAGTAATAACCTACCTGTCTGCTGTTGTGATCAAGAGGGGTCTAAAGTCATCTGTGATACTACCTGATTTTCTGGATACTTCAAAATACAAATTAGGCCTGCAAATTATAGAGAAAACACTCATCAAAACATATCACCACAGGTACATGGACTAAGGAAAGCTTGCAGATACATTTTGACCTACAAAGTAATTCATGTGCATAATTCACATGCATAATTACTACCAAACTATTGTCTTATAACAATTACATCAATTACTTAATTAACCACAATTTTCTGTTAGTCACATTTAATTAATACTTGGTCTGTAAGATGCACAACACTAGTCATGTAACCAGTTTAATAAATCTTGTACCATAAAGCTTAAAACTATTATTAATAATGATCTTAAAAATAAAACCCTTGAGCTCAATTACCTATCAAATCCAGTGCAAACAAAAGCAGCATTTTTCAGTTTCAAAGATTGACATATGTCTCTTCTTACAACAGGAGTAGCAGTGGCTGTCAAGGCAACTATGGGTACCTTAAATGTACAAAATGGAGATGCAGGAAAGGGTCATACTATGTCAAAGCAAATACACCTTAAACTTTTTTGTTTACAGTGAGATGTCTCTTCTGTTTCAAACAGTTTGGCCTGAGTATCAAGTGCGATTTGCTTTCCTTTGCAATAAATTATTGCAAACCTAAAACATTAATAATCAATTGAGCTATGCCACTAAAGTTCAGTTTCTAGAGCCTTAAGCTAGTTTGCAGACAAAAGAGTATTAAATTTTATTCTGAGTTCCCTATGGTTTCTTGGCATAGTGTACTTTGGTTCTAGTCCTACTTGTCTATTAATACTATGGTTTGACATTGTGTCACTTAATCCACAAGTCAAACCTCAATACTTTGTGTGCCCAACAATATTGTTTCTTTCAAATAGGTGATTTCACCATTTAACCCTTTCACTCTCAAGATCTCATTAAGTGATTATCCTTATTGTCTTCCATAAAATTTTTATGATATTATTTTGGACTGAATTTGGTTTTGAATCAACTAATAATTCCCTGATTGATATTTTTCTTTATTCTCATTGCTTATCTGCCTCATATTGTATTGACATTGTAAAGAGAAATAGTATCTTGGTCATTCATAGGAGTTCCAGGGTTAAGTGCTTATTACTACAACAGTACAAACTATATTTTCCATTACAACATCCTCATAAGAACTTCAATCAAGTCACTCTGGGGTATTCCACACTTTGATAAATAAACACATTCCATCCTTTCCCATTCCGAAAAAACAAGACAAAACAAAACAAACCTGACTTGTTATTCACTTGTTATCAAACATTAGTTATTCTAGAAAATTGAAATTTATTAAGTGTATCAAATATTTTAAGGTATTCTCTTACAGTAGGAAGTTTATCCCTGATACATCCAAGTGAACGATATGAGGATCTAAAGTCATGGCCCCACTGAGAAACACAATGTGCTTCATCTATTGCAACTAGTGTTAAACCTGTTGAGCAAATAAATATTAAATATAACTATTTATAGGTACTTTTTTTCAGTTAGTATCACAACTAACTTGTTTGATCCAATAAGAATACTAGTGTTGAGAAGGTTTGGCAGCCTGTGAATAATTAGCAGCCTAGCAGTTTAAACTGGCTTATTTGTACCTTTGCTTTCATTTGTTTTTTTTTCAATTATATCCTCACCTACAGACTTCTGTATTTCAGCTAGGAATGTACTATCTAAGGAAACATATTCAGGAGTCAAGTATACCACTCTATACTGTCCCCTGGAAAACAAAAAACACATACCAGAAATGACTATAAGACTTTCAAAAGACAAAAGGTAGGGAGAAGCATTTTTTAAAAAACAGATCATGTCCACTGCCTCGAGAAAGGTAGTTTGAAAATTTCTAGAATACCTCAAAACTCCAGCTTTTACTTCAGCATTATTGCTTTGAGCAGACCCAAGATAACAAGCTGCAATGTTGTAAAGCCTAAAACATAACCATTACAGAAAAAAGATGAAATTTGTATGGCTTACGAATTAAACTAAATACAATATAATGCATTCTAAATTGAATTTGCACTTAATAAGTTCACCATGAAATGAATATTTAAAAATTTTATGTTTGTAAATGAAGTGGATTGACTCTTGTACAATTTGTTGTTTTGAAACCTTCACTGCTTCTTCATTACTTCTCCCTTACTGCAATTTGACCACTTTATTCCAGATTAATGATCTTCTGATACTCAATAAAAATTGAGCAATATGTAACATATAATTATACATTATTGGCCAAGCATGAAGTCAGTCAATAGGAACACAGGATTCACTCCATATTGTCCACGGACATTGCCAGCCATATACTAAAATATATTAATATTAATAGCAACCAGGAGAATTAAGAAAAATTAAGTTAAACCTAAATTTAAGAGTTCATTCTGTAGTCTTTACCCCAGTTTTGTAACTTGATCCTCCATAAGTGAGATTAGAGGTGATATAACAACTGTTGTTCCTCCAGAGTACAAAGAGGGGTACTGATAACATAAACTCTTTCCATATCCTACATAAATATATGGATGGCAATTATTGATGTCAGGAAATGGATGGTTCATTAGAAATAACACATCACAATGGAGATTATTTGGTACAAGTACCTTGGTGTATAATAAAAATAAAAAAGAATTGTGTCATCCATGATAATATAGTATTTATCATTAGCCCCACAATGTAGTCAATTCCAATGTATGTCCCTTGTAAGTGATGATTTTGCAAATTGTATGTTCTCATGTTTTTCAAAATGTATCAAAACAACAGTCATTATTAACCCTTAAACTCCCATGAGTGACCAAGACAGAATTTCTCCTTACAATATCAATACATTATCAATCAGATAAGTGATGAGAATAAAGAAAAATATCAATCGGAGGATAATTAGTTAATCTAATACTAAATTCTCTGAACTAACATTGAAAGAATTGTATGGTTGACAGTAAGGAGAATTACAAATTTGATCTGGGAGTTAAAGGGTTAATAATATCACCAATGACTCAAAAATAAAGGCCACAAGATTAAAGGAAATAATCACTGACTAAAAAGGCTCTTGACTGTTAAACAAATTCTCCCCGTCAGCACCTTGAAATGTATGAAGAACAGAATTGAGAATATGCATACTGGTGTTAGGATATCATGGGATAAGAACAAATGGTACTCTTGGGTTTAAACTATACTGTATTTATTCATGATAGAAGCAGACCCAAGAATCAATCCAAGAATTACCTGTTGCCATTACAACACAAACATCCCGTTTAGAATTAAGCACTTCATTTATTATCTTCCACTGCATACTGAAAGATATAAATTTATATTTCAAAAAATATGTATTTAGGAAAGCAGTCAGTGGTAAATAAAAGTATAAACAAGTATAAATTCATTAACACAAATTCAAGGCAGAGGAAAACTGATCTACACACGGTCTGAACTTAGAATGACCAAAATATTTCTTCAGCACATCTATGTGGTCATCATCTGGTTTGATTTCGTCCATATCTGATGAGAAGATTTAAAAGAAGAAAATGATTTGGTTAAAAAAATGCATTAATTGAAAATAGTTTTTTGAAATATGAAGGTTTTTCAGTCAATGAAAAACGAATTTATTTTCCATGTTTCATTGTCAATAAGTACTTTTCTTTCCTTAACATTGCTTTTTTTACTCAACTTATCATTATCACCATTATCTCATCATTCAATATTAACTAAAGATATCTTATAATCTTATCTTTCCAATTATTTTGAAGTAAATTTAACACTAATTAATATATTTATGTTGAGTTAACTGTATTTCAAGGGAGAGAAAAGTAATATATCTTATTAGTGAAAGGCACCTTCTGATTCTGTTGATTGATCTACATCCTTGTTGCCAGTATCTGAAATCTCTGATTCAGCTTGACTTTGATTGCAGATTTCCTCAATGTCAACCTTGAAGACAAGGAAAAGTATGCTTATCTCTTAAGTGATCAAAAAATTTAAAACACTTTAATCCCTCCTAAAAAGGATTTATTTGAACTGTTGTATCATTTTCTGTTTCTTAATGGGTGTAAACATCAGAGTTTAAATGCAAAAACTAAAATAACTACATTGATTGTGTGGAAAGCTTGGGTTAAGCCATATTTAACTTTTCCAACAGATCTGAGTTTTTTTCACATTTTACATTCCTGCAGCCAATCAAAATTACATCCTAAAACTTAGTACATACAATTTTAAGCCACTTTTCAGAGTTAGTTGTAGTAAACCAAATGATTCTGATATATCAGTTAATAGACGGAATCTCTAGTTCAATCAAATTGAGCATTTGGTTATCAAAAAAATAAAAGTTTTATCATGTTTATTACCTCAGCCATTGCTTGATCAAACTCATCATCACTCAACTCAATCAGGTCATGTGAGTCATTACAATGAGAACTGCTTAAAAGTAGTTTTTTACTGGCATCTCTTGAGTCCTAAAGAAAAAAATCAGAAAAATCTGTTTCCAGGTACAAAATGAAAACATTGAGGTAATTACAACAAAAGTTGGCTGGTTCTCCTACCAAATTCTCTCCCAAACCTAACAACTTTAACTAACTTTAACCTTCAAAAGTGCACATTAAGCTTCCAGTGAGGCAGACTATACTGTATGAGACTTTGTTGCTTTAAGTCACGTGAAAGTACTAACTACCCTTGGGTTGCACAGTAGTCTACCATAAATAAATTACTGGTAGCCATGGATGTGAGACAAACTTAACCCCTGGTAATAGTGAGCATGAGAGTTTAGAGTCCTGCCAAGTAAATAACTTATCATAATGCACCAATCAATTCAAAGCTTCAACATCCCCTCTCTACCCCTGGGAAAAACCCACAAGCATTTGACATCCAAGCCCTGGGGGTGAAATTTGAAGCCTACTTAAGTGGGATGGAGAATTTGAACCACAACTGTCAAGTCTTTCCAGCAGAATTAAAGTGTTTTATCATTTGTTATGGAGGTGTTTTAAGTAAAAACTTCAATTTTATGAGCAGATGGCTCAGAAGAAAAGGGTCGCTACTAATCTTGACTTTCACAAAAAAATTAATGAACAAATGCGGCACTAAGGTGGGGCATTTCAACACAAGTTTGGCCCTGGAGGCAGAGAATTTCAACAGAATAATCTTTGGAGGTTCAAATGCCCATAGCTTGTTTTTCCATGAAGGGGATGTTGGAGCTTTAAATTGATTGATGCTTAACATCCACTGCCCAGCCCCTAGTGAGAGATTGGCAACAAAAACAGCATACTTCATCAGCAGTCCCACCTTTCAGGTTTTAGGAGCAGTTAGTAAAAATTTTAGACATTTATCTCTTTTACTGTTAGTTCCAGTCAGTTTGATTCTGGTTAACTTGAACTCATTTGTATAGGTTATTCTATGTCTGCATTCATAATTGCACTAGACCCGCAACCTACAACCTGCATCTGCACTCTCCATTACCAAACACTTTCACCCTGACCATCATGTGCAAGGTTGCATAACATTATCCATCTGAAATATGCCCGTTCTTCACATTTTTAAGCAATGAAAGGGAAAAGAGTGGTGTACATCATAACATTTATTGGGAAAATTTTTATATTGAAAATGTTGTAATTAGCAGCAGCAATTTAAACAAACTACCTCCCCAAAGCTGGTGTTGCCTGAGTCTTTTGAGGTGTCCTCGTCCATTTTTCCAACAAAAAGCTCGTGTAGCTCGGCAGCACTTGACTCGATAGCAGAGAGCAGGAATTCTACCCTAGTTTCTTGCGCAGAAATCACGTCGCTTGCTGTGACAGCTTCTGAAATATCGCGCAAAGTATTCAAGACCGTTAACACCCTGCCATGCATTACTCCATTCTTATGACTATCCATAATTTTTCAATAATAATAACATTGGTGCAACGATTTATACGATTTATCGGTATCGCAGCTGAGGCAGCCGCCATAGTAAATGCATTCTTGCCGCGCGCAGAAATTTTTTTTGGGATCACTTTCTGAAGGAGCTTAGACACCAGGCTCAA